ACTGGAAAGTCAGTTATTTCAGAAACACCACAATTTAGTCAACTATATGACTTAACTAATCAAGGTCCGTAGACACCTAATCGCATAGTTAGATAGAAAACGACTTGCTAAATATTTATGATGATCATAATCGTTAAATATGTTTTCTGCAAAAATGCCAGAACATATCGTTTTCCGCATCTCATTTCCTTTGACAACTTGCCCAACCTGTAATTGCAGACTAGATAGATTATTAGGGAGGTATTAAACCCAACAGCATTCAAAATATTATCAAATAAAAAGAGGGATTTTTCACAACCTGGCAACCAAAAACTGCCACAATGTCCCAAAGTCTAGGAAGACGTTTTCACACTCCTTCTTTTGAGAAGCAGCAATCACCACCTTAAAGAAGCTGAAGCCAGGGACTATTTGTCTTTTTTGATTGGCTGGTAATGAACTCATTGACCGACCCTACACAACATGCATTTAAATGAAAAAAGAGAAATAACTTGACCGGTATAATAAAGCAGCAACACATTAGCCCTAGGTTTAAAGATATCCCAAGTTATACAATAGAAAGTCGTTTTCTCACCGCACAGCTGAGTCTGAACACAGTCGTCATGGTTGTGCGTGCCTGGTGAAGGCTGCATATTCTCTCAAAGATCTTCACTGGCACCAAGACTGAAATCCGTAGATGTTTGTAATCCTGTGATAATAGCCTGAAGATGTTCTGCTCCCCAAAAAAACTCAACATAAAACAACACAAATAAAAGAAACTCAAACTGGAAGTCCAAACTACATGTCCTGAGGATACTGCGGCACCGCGTGTGTGTCCTTGCCGGGCGACACACGCACTCTGAGCTGCACAGAGCTTTGTCTGATACTTTTTCTCACACACACATTCCCACAGTGTCCAGACACACACAGAGTGAGGAAACAGCTGACCAGACCCAGCACCCCCCCCCTGCCAAAAGCTGTGAACAAAAGGGGTCAATGTGAGGAGGGGGGAGGAAAGAGGGGGAGTGGTGGGAGCGTCTGGGAGACACAGATGGGTCAGAGGGCTGGACTGAATAATGATGAGAGGAGGGGGGGGAGGGGGAGTCTGGAGCTTTAACTTCTCTAGACGTGTGATTATAAAGGAATTTAAAAACAATAAACTTAGGAAAAGGGATCTCAGTACTTGGGAAAGATACAACAATATCTGTTATGAGGATTTAATATAACACATGGTATTTAATCACACAAAGAATTTGATTCAATTACAAATATTATCATGATAGTTAACAGAATATGCTCAAAACCCTTAAGATGGCACTAAAACATAATGGACTTTCTTAGCCTGTCATTTCTTTTTAAAGCACTTTATTTGTTATTAAATATAATCAAAATGATATTTGTATTGCATCATAGATAGGACACATCAGCTTGTTGAAACCCAATGAATTACTAGGTCCAACTGCATCAACAAAAAACAAAATAAAAAGCCTAATGATAATTTATAAAAAAGTGTAGCAAAATTGTGTTCTTACTCGATATTTCATGTCTTTTGTATAGCTCGACAGTTCAAGTTCAAGTCAGTTATGTGCGGATATCGACAATAATCCCAAACATGGATATTCAATCTTATTGTGGCTGTTTTCTAATGTGATCCACTATAGAAATCCTTAATGTGACGTCCCCGGTAGGGCAGCAGCGAACCGCTTCAACACGTGTATTTCGGTGTTATTCACGGCATTCATTTTGTTATTCTACAGTATTGTTGTTTTATAGTTAATGTATACAACCCAATTTGTGTTCTTTGAAATTGAAAAGGATATCACATTGTGTTTGTTACTTTCGTTGCAGTTGTATATGTCTTAAAGGGCCCATGTCATGGCCATTTCCACTGATCATAATTACATTGTTGAGGTATACTAAAATAGATTTATACTGTGCAATTTTCCAAACTCACATTGGTTTCGCATACAGCATCTCTGTCAAGCATGTGTATTCAGCAGTATTCACTTTCTCCACTAAACGACTCGTTGGAGCTCTTGCCCCCCCCTCCCTGTGAGCCTAGTGTGCTCCGATTGGTCAGCTCGGCCACTCGTTCTGATTAGTCAACCACCAGAGAGGCTGCGCCCATGTCAGTGCTTTTCCCGGCTGCTCTCAGCGTAACATCAGTCTTATCATGGCGTCGGTACAGCGGTATATTTTATATACATATATATTTTTAACTGTTGTTATAGAAGAGTGTGACGGCCTCAGGGCCTTTGTCTTACGATGGGGTGGAGCTGAAGAGGCTAATCAGCACGATCACGGACACCTCCGTAGCCGGTGCTATTAATCCCAGCGGCCCGGAGTCTCTCTCCAAAGCGGCTGCAGAAGGACGAACTGAGCGACCCTCTCCCCTCGACCACCTGTCTCTGCATTTACCACAATAAATGTGCCGTGGTTTTGTAAACTCGTGTATGTCTCCTTGTCTTTCCGTTGTGGCCTACGAGCTACTCTCATAACAAAGAGTAAGTTATTTTTACCCGTT